GCCATCCCCAAATGGGGGTACCTTTGCCGGCCACCCTCTTCAAATGGCTTCTCTAGTTCTCATTCTCATTACCCTCCTCCTTCCTTCCAGCAGCCAGTGCTCCTGTTAAAGTGGGTATCTTCCGCTGATGTATCAATTATCAATGTCCTTCATTAAAACAAAAGGTCTATGAGACAGGGTTCTGTCTAGCCTTACCTCAGCTGTATCACCAAGGCCTACCACACTGCCTGACACACAGGAGGTTAATATCATGATGATTAATAGATAAAACAGAAAATAAAGAAGGATAACAGAAAAAATCTGGAGATAAGAAACACACATAAGATTAAAAAAAAAAAAAGAAAAGAAAAGAAAGAAAGAACACTTGTAGGAAATGCAACTTATTATATCTCCCAAGACTGTGCTACAGGCTCTCTCTTAGGTGACAGAACCACATTGTTCTGGTCAAAAACACAACAAATTGGAGCTGAGGATGCCGTTCAGGGGTACAGCTAGTCTAGCATGCTGGAGGCCCTGGGTTCTATGACCACCATGCCCATGGGTATAGCCAACTGTTACTATCAGATAAGTCGTCAAAGTAAAAAGACCAAAGAATTGGGAGTTCTAACTCTAATCCTGACACTTTTAGCAAAATGGTACTTCATCCTCTTAGATCTTATTTGTAAAAGGAAAGGACTGTGTGTTTACCTTAAAATGATAATAGTCTAAATTTGGCATACAATTTGATATGCTCATCTCTGCTTATTTCATTTCTGTCATGAATGTATTTGCTTTGCAGTGCTGAGGCATCAAATCCAGGGCCTTGTGCATGCTAGGCAAGCATTCTACAATACCTCAGCCCTTGTGGGGTTTTGTTCCTTCTCCCTGCAGAACTGAAGCAATCTTGAAGCCCTTGGTTTTTTGAGACAGGGTCTCCTTATGTAACTCAGCCTGGCCTGGGATTCACGGTATATTCCAGGCTGGCCTAAACTTTAGATCTTCCTGCCTCAGCCTCCCAAATGCTGAGATTACAGGCATGTATGTACCACTGTGTCTGGCCCATTGCTCTTTTACAATAAAGACCTATTAGGACTGGAGACATGGCTCAAGTAGTAGAGCCCCTGCCTTGCAAGTGCAAGGCCCTGAGTTCAAACCCTGGTACAATTAAATAAATATATGCATGTACACATACATACATACCCTACTGCCCAAACCTGTGTCTAGGCACACACACCTCTCCCCTCCAACCGCAACCCAACCACTAGCCCTGAATTACAAGGCCAGGAACACTTATACAGAGGTGCCACAGCTTTCCTTTTTGTTATCTCTAGGGAGAAAAGCCAGATGTAGAGCAATGCCAGTCTTCCAACTGGGCAGTTCCATCTCTGATGCGCCAACTCTACAGCTGGAAAACATTCCCATAAGATCACAGAGTTCTGCCCCGCCCTCGGCGAGGTCACTACCCATTGCGGTCATCACAGACTAATATTCCCAGGGAAAGTCAAGTGCTGAGTTTTCGAGTCTAGGGCTCTATTTAGTCAGAATAGTGATCTTTCCATTGTTTTTTCCATTAGGGTCTTAGGCAGGACAAAGTTTTAACTATCAGAATGACTTACCCAGCAAAGTAAGGTACTTTACTAACTAAAATACAAAACAAAATACTTTCCAGGAAGTGAAAGGACAGAGAGTAGTATAAGGAATCCACAGTACTGTGGTCTGAGGAAGAAGGAACACCAAAGGACAAGGTGACTTTATTATCTGGGTTCATTTACAAAAATACCCCTCTGTAGAAGCAGTGGGGAAGGGGCGGGAACAACGCACAGACCACAAAACCCAACTATCCTCACACTCCAGGAAAGAGAAAAAAATCTCCTGCTGGTCTTAGGACCAATGAAGCAAATAAAGGAAAACCACGGGCCACCTCCTTCCCCTTTCCAGCTCTACTAACTCCCCCTGCTGCATGTCCAATTACCCAGGATGCTGCTCAAATTCTGCTTTTATATTCAAAGTCCCCCGGCTCTGGGGATAATTCCCTACTCTCCTTAGTCTCACATCTGTTTTCCTTGGGTTCACGAGAATATGAAAATTTGAGATTTTATGCACGATACCCATTAATACTCAATCGGTGAAATGTGAGATCTTTGTTTAAAAAAAAAGGTAAATCAAATCCAAAACCTTGTCAAAAAATAAAAGCAAAATCACAACCTAGCCAGAGCACACCAGTATCCTGCTTCCCAGATTTCCCCTGTCATTCCCTGCTCCTGGCTACTCGTCCCCTCACGTGGGTCACTGAGCCCTCCATCTGCCTGGCCTCTCAACTTCATCCTCCCGCTCACCAGCACCATGGGACTCGCTGGCAGTTTGCACCGCATCTGCCACTGACATGAGGGCTCTGGCAGGAACCAGAGGAAACTGTCATACTACAAGGAACGCTGACTGCAGATGACAAGTTTACACGTACTCAGTTGTTAACAGCAGATGCCTCTGTGCCAAGAAAACCCCATTGTCCAATTTCAAATGCCCACTCCTCAGAAAATGTGCAAGGGCCACCTAACAGCAAAACCTTTACTCAGCAATTCTCTCCTGCCTCCATTCCCAAGAAAGCAATAGCACTAACCAAGACACAGTCCCTGAAATGCTAGCTGGGAATCCCACCAGCTGAACTCACACAGGTTTACCTATGGTGCACCTAGCACCAGATGGTTTGCATTCCATTATTCTCAAATCGTTTCAGGAGTGTCGGCTCCCTTGTGCACCAGACTTAGTCTCTAGGGGCAGCACCAATACTGCTTTAGCATCCTCCACCCCTACCTGTAAACATATGCTTGGTATTTAGCAAACTATGTAAATACTAATGTGTCCTAAAATTGTTTAAAAGCAATTTTTCTCAGTTTAGTTTTTCTAAAAAACAAAAAAAAGTTTGCTATCTTTTTTTTTGGAACTAAGAAGCTACAACAGATTCAATTTGAGAAATACAGCAAAGGAACCCCCATTAAGTCTGAATTATGAGATAGGATGACAGAACATCCTGAGCAGAAAAGATCTTGTCTTATTCTCTGCCTCCATCTCAGCACAAAATGTTCAATAAATGACCAGAGGTCCAGTTCTGCCATCTGAGTCAGATGCTTCATTTGCTTCATTCTTCCTTTTTTATTTTTTTTCCTCAATCCCCAAACAAAAGTCAGTTTCTGAGAACATCCAGAGGCACTCACATCTCAAGAGCTGTCTGAGGACAGAGCCCTCAGTCTCTCTTCTAAAGCAAAAGCTGACACCTACAGGCCCAGATTCTCCTCCGTGAAGATCAGGGCCATCTTTACAGCCAAGGATTCCAAAACCTTTTGCTTTAGCATGTCCTGTCTGGGGCTGTCACAAGTAGGAGGGGGAGGACATAAGGAAAGAGTGTAGGAGGTGAATGTGGTGGAAATGTTATGTACTCATTATGAAATTAGAAAGATGAGACCTGTTGAAACTACTCCAGAACAGAGGTACAGGGGATAAAGGAGAATGATGAAGTGGATAAATTCAAATAAGCTACATTGTAAGAACTTTTATAAATGTTACCATGTATGCAGAGTACAAAATGCCAATAAAAACAAAAATTGTTTTTAAAACCTTAAGGAATTTTACCTCTGGCATTATTAAAAACTGAAATCTGGGTGACTTAAATGTCTCTGAGCAATAGACATGCAAATTAGAATGTCTGTACAATAGATGTGACCACAGCCTTTGTCAACAGAAAAGCTTTCAAAATTCACTTTACCCAGGCCCACCTGTAGTCCCAGCTCCTTGGGAGACCAAAGTGGGAGGATGAATTGAGCACCCACGTGTTCAGCCCAAGAGTTCAAGACCAGCCTGGGCATCACAGGGACATCTTATCTCAAATAAATAAATAAATAAATAAATAAAACTCACTTCGAACACTTCACTACTAATCTTAATTTTTGAGTAACTATCACCACTTTAAAATCTCATATTGCATTCAGTAATATGTGCTCTCATTCTCTACATTCAAACACAATGCTACCATTATCAAGAGTAGAAAAAGGAGGGCTTTTCCTTGATTTTAAAAAATACAGTATTTTGAGATAGCTTAGTGGTAGAGCACTTGCCTACCATGGGTGAGGCCCTGCGTTTGATCACCAGCACCACCTTAAAACAAAAAAAACCACACAAACAGAACAAAAAATCCAAGCAAACAATAGTATTTTGGTTACTTTAAAACTACTTAGTTGAATAACACTCTGCATATTTGTGATTCGTTCTCAAATGAGATGTCACATATACCCAATGTTTTCTTTAGGTGATAAATAAAAAATATTACAACACAACTGTACTTTCAAAGTTCCTTACAATTTGTAAGAACAGATCTTCAAAAAAAATAAACTTTCCTTTCAACATTTTGGCACCTAAATTTTTTTTGACTTAGGAAAAACTGACTGAGACTGAGGAGGTATTACTACTGCAAACTTTTTTCCTTGGAATTGTTTTTAAAATAAAAAAAGCCAGTTCCCCTCCAAGCCCCCTCTCCCCTCAATGAATACAACTTAAAATCTTTCTAGAACTTTCTGACATTAGAAGTGTTTGCTCTCTTGGATTGGGTTGTGGGCCATATACATATGTATACAAACTATTCTCAGGATCTCTATATTGTACTAAATATAGCTCAAAAAAAAAAAAACACATTTTAAAATCCTCTGCAACGTGCATTTCAAACTAGGGAAATCCCAGCACTTTGGAGGTTGAGGCAGGAGAATCTGGAGTTCAAGGAGAGTCTGGAGTTTAAGGCCAGCCTGAGCAAAATAGTGAGGAGATACACACACACAAAATAAAAATTTGCCATTTCAATATCTAACTCATCTGAGACCTGAGCTTTTCATGGGTTCACAAAATCCTAAAACCAAAGGAATGCCACACCCCAAGGTCACAGTCTCACCCCCTCACTCCACTGCCATTCTCCAGATACTTGCATCTCAACTCTGTCTTCAAATTAGAAATGGCCCAGGTAAGAAATCCCAACTCACCTCGACTGACTGCGCAGGCATCTTCAGTCTGGTGAGCTTGGCTTTGGCAGGCACTTTTAAGTCTATTTTTTCAAAGGTCTGCTGACGGAAGTCCTCCGGCAGCGGTTTCAGCTCTGGAGACTCACTAGGAGCCTGGTCTTGGCCATCCATGGGCCGAACATAAGCGGTGGGCTTCTGTTGCATTGCAACACTTTTCGAAGGAAGAGAAGGGGGTGGAAATGTCTGAGAAGGCGGCTGGGGAGGAGCTACCCCGAGGCTGGCAACCGCCACCAAACTGTCTTGAGGCTTCTCTTTATCACGGACCTTCACCACCAGGTCCTTGGGAGACTTGGCTGGGCAGAGGCTTTTACTGTTATTGCTACTGCTGTGAGCCTTGTTGCTTCCTTGCATTCTGGGAAGAGTCTGCTGGCTGGAATGTACAGGTGACAAAGGGGGCAGTGGGGAAGGCAAAGAGGAGATTAAGGGGGAAAGCTCCCTCTCTGGAGCTAAGTCTGTCATAGAAGCACAGTGGCCTCCATCAGCTCTGTGGTCACCTGTGTTGTGATGAGTAGAGCTGTACCCCTCCTGACTGAGGCGATCCTGGGTCAGGTGCTGGCCATCCGGTGGACCATAGCTTTTGGCATGGAGACTTGGCAACGGTTCCATTCTTGGCTGCGCCATCTTTGGGTTGTGGCTAATGGTACCAACAGGAAGTGGTCCAGAGGTGGGAGTGTGAATGGGCTGGTGGTGGACCCGAGAGTGGAAGGAGTTGGATGGAATGCTGCTCCCCTTATCAGGAAAGAAAGGATATCTTGGCTTCCCCAACCTATCTTCTGAAGCATCCAAGCGCTGAGGGCGAGACTTGGTGCTAAGGAACTCCTTCATTTCCTCATAGTTTCCCAACATGTTCTGTAGTCGACTTGACAGTTCATCACCTTTTGCTGTCTGAAAGAAAGAAAAGAGAGAAGAGTCAGATGAAAAAGAGAAACAGAGGGAGGGAGGGAGGAAGGGGGGAAGAAAGGATGGATAAGGGAACAATCATTTAACAAACTGTTATATAACACCATTAATGTATACCATACAGAAATTAATGTAGAGTTGTAACTCATTTCCTCTGTTGAGAAGCCTGCCATAGACGCATATTACTAATCACAGGAAAATAACATTACAAAAGAAAACCACAATATTCGGAGAATTCAAAAATTTTGTTTTCAAAAACAATCTCTACAGTAAATTATTTTCACAGCTGTGATCATTGTTTGGAATCAGTTACAATGAATCATTTCATCACAGAGTTCAGTATGGTGAGAAATCAGACTTTCACCTCTGGTCATTTGGTGAATACCTTGTAGGGCTCTCCAAAAAGGGGAATCTTTTCAGGAAATGCCTCTTTTTCTTGGTGAGCTTCCTGATTGCGTCTTTCCTTCTCTCTAATTCGAAGCAGGTTTCTGTCTTCATTGTACAAGCTGTTTCAGATGCCACAAAAAAAACGAAAACAACAAAATTTATCAGTATTCAAGTTTGTTGTGTACATGTATGTTTGTGGATAAGGCAAGGACATTCCTAGGAAGAAATAAGGACAGGGAGCATGAAGAAAGCATCAGATCTTCAACCCAGTCCTAAATAGAGGCGTCAACTGGCTGTGACCCCACAACTTGGTTCCAGCAGCCCACACTCACTCTGGGCTACAGCCTGCATCATGGCTCAGGACTGACTCTAAGTTTAGTAGTCTTTTACCGGCAGTGTGAAAATGAGACATGAATAATGGTACTTTTAACCTCCAGTTTGCAAAATAAAGGATAGAGAGAGACTTTCCATCTGAAGGAATCAGCAGGATGTGAACTCTGAAAAAGGCTGTTTTCCTGGATCAGTTATTGTATACTTTGGAAGATTAAAATCAAAAGGCTTAATCCTAATTAAAAGATTACCAGGCACCCAAAACAGCATTTACTTTATTCTCAGTCTACTCTACCAGGAGTCTCTTGGCATGTAAATCCAAAGAGATGATTTATATTTCTCATTTCAAATGTCAAAGATACACAGAGAAGATCCAATTACAGATGTCAGCTCTCCTCACTGAGAAAGTCTTACAATCTGATTGCCCTACTTAAATCAAACAAAAATCTATCCTAAGTCATTATCTTGGCACCAAAAGGGTTAAAGTGCGTTCATTGAGAAATGAGTCAGAAAGAGATGCTCCCAGAAGGTCAATTTTAGCAACTCTACAAACTAAAAGTGGGCTTGTCACATTGTCACCACACAGCCCTCTCTCCCTGCAAACCCTCACATGCTGTAATCAATAATGAAAACAACAACTTATAAATGACTATTGTCTTCATAGACTTGCTTCTAGGGAATCCATGAATCTCCATTCCCAATGCCATTTGAATGAACAGGAAAACACTCAGTGGGCTTGACCATATGTACCTTTACAAATTCTAGCCCTGACGTCAGATGCCCTCCCCAATCCCCTCCTGGCCTCTGTTCTCTCATGACTTCTGTTTCATCTTGCCTGCCCCATATCTCATCCCTCTAATTCAGCCTTCCCTTGAAATGACACCTGGTTTAAGTCCCTGATTCTCTTGTCTTCATATTTACAACTATAACAGCATTCGATAGCTCCTTCTACTGCAGAATAAACTCGTAACTCCTTGCTTTGGCATGAAAATCCTCCTGTAATCTGGTTCAGATCTACTCTACGCATCATCCCACTGCCCCCGAAAGGCTCACCAAGGCATTCTACTTGACACCCACTCAGGTCCAATCCCAAGCACATCCTGCAAGGGGAAGTCTCTTGATCTGATGCCTGCCTGAACCCCATTTACTGAAAGAGAACCGATTCTTCCAGGCCCAGCTTCCTACAAACCACCTCTATGTTCCAACCATAGCAGACTACCCTCAGGGACATCCTAGATTTTGATACTTTCATTCAAATCCATCTAACACATCAATTGGTTATTTCCCCTCACCTCTCCCCTAGAATGTGAATTCCACCAGGACAAAGCCTCTCCTAGTCACCACTCTCCTGGGCTTAGCACGTAGGTACTGAACCAGAGCACTCGCTCGTGCTAGACGGGCGCGAGAGAACCTGCGCCAACCTCGACCCACGGTACGGCCCGGCGGCGGCGGCGCAGGTCACCCTGCGGGGCAAAGCAATCAAAACCGGGAAACAGGGAGGAAAACGGCAAAGTTTTTATACCGCACTCGTCAAGCAATTATCAGCCCAGAGCAACGACCTGCCCACATTAAATATTTTTAAATTAAAAAACAATCATTGTGCTTATTTTTATAAACGTTCTTACAACTTTTTCTTAGATTTAACTCTGGAAGAAATGTACAAAAACAGTTGTTTTTTTTTTAAATTATAGCTATATTTATATTTATATTACTGCTATGTCATAATCTTTCAGTCTAAAGTGGGGTAGTGGGTGTGCAGGGGGAGCTGAGCTACCGGAATAAATCTGATATGATTTGGTGCGTAATTGTCTGCTTAGACCACTGTATCAAACCTTCTTAGGTGACATAGTTCACAGTATCGGATTTCAAGAGAGTGCCTAGCTACAAAGGTAACGACTTGTGTTAGTAAACATAACAGAGTCTGAATGTCATGTGCTTCGGACACCAAGACTTTCTTCTGGTTGGCAGTGGCAAAGGGACTTGAAGACCACTCAAGAATTCCTTTCAATCATTTAATGGTTTTGCTCCTTCCTCTTGTTGGTTCAAAAGGCCACATACCATCAGCACACAACCATAGAAGCCACATAAGAGCACTAGTCAGGAAATAACTTTTTTTTTTTTTAACCCCTTTAAACTTGCTTTTTGGCACTCTTCAGTCAGTTTTCAGAGAAGGGTAGGGCATGCAGCTATGCTCTGAGCAACCTGAAATCCTCAGCTTCCTCTTCTCCCCCATGGTCTTGCTGCAGCTGGGAGAGGATGGGAAGACAAGCTGGTCTCCTGTTCTCACTGAAGCTTTTGTTCAAATCCACCCTCTTCTCATACTGCTCACTACAGCCAAGGATCTCCATGACTTTACCTGATCCCGAGTATTCAGCCTTTGGCTCTGCCTCATGAGGCAGAGTTCTGGCCATTTCAGAACAATCTCTACCTTTGTCTCAGAAAAGGGACCAGCCAACAGCAAAATTCCCAGTCCAAGATGGAAAAGTCCTTGTATATCTCCTTGTCAATTGCACTCTAAGTTACCCTTAAGCAAAATTACATTGGTCTAAAATTATAGACAGAAACCCTAATTAGGCTATTTTTTCATAAAATTCCTAACACTGGCATAGTATTATGTGATTCTAAAAGTCAAGAGGCCTCTGAGAAATGAAACCCTATTAAGGATTCCAGTTTATTCGGGCTTTACTTCATTTGTTTAAAAAAAAAATCTAAAGCCACATTAAGAATTTATTGGTAGACATACCAATTTTGAGACAAGCTTTGCATGATTTTTTTTTAATTCATCATAACTCTTCAACTGAAAAACATGTAAGTAGCTTGGTGAGTAAAAACATCAATAAATGTCACTGCCATCTCTGGGGTGCCCCCTCACCATGGCTCTCGTAGGGTAGAAGAAGGCCAAGGAGGCAGGAGGTGTGCAGAGGTGCACAGGAGGGCTGGGAACCCTTGTCCTGGGTTGGCCTCTTTCTCCTTGCAACTAACAGACTTTTGCCAGGCACACTGGGTAGATTTCTGGTTTACTTCACTTTTACTTAGTACAAGTTTACAATGGTTTGTTAGAAGTTCCCAGGCAAAATTTTTCCAGGAATATTTTTTTCTTGGTTGCATTATGAAATCAGGGAAAAGGTAAATTTAAAAACAAAATAAATAAATAGGTTTACATACAGCACGAGTAAACTTTTATTGAGTATTTTCAAACCAAGTTATAAGCAAAGAAGGGGTGGTGTTTTAGGAAGTGGCAAATATCTTAAGTGATTCACAATGGCTCTAATTACTTTGAATAACTACAAGTTAGCTATCACTTTAATTAAAGGTCACTTTTCCCCCTCTGGCAGGAAAAATAAGGCATTTCCACTCTCACACAGTCAAGGTAACTCATTCCAACATCAGCCTGGCTAGATGCTCTTACTGATCTGCATGTAACGGTGAGATACAAGCGCTCCCACCTGATGTCTCCACAAACTCCTCTGCATCAGCTGAGAGGTTCTCTTCAGTGCACATCAGAGTGACATGAAGGACTTGTTAAAGTAGATTACAGAGACCCACAGTTTCCATTTACCAAACTTGAGGTAGAGCCTGAGCTGAGTACAGCTAGCAAGTTTTCAAGCGGTTCCCAGGGGTAAAGGTAGGCTCTTTTGGGAGCCTACCACAAAAACAACAGCACTGCAGACAGCAGCAGCCTGGTCACATCACATCACTGTCCTATTTGATTTTCCCAAGAGCCCTGTGAAAAGACGGTTAGGCTTATTTTCCAAGTGGAAAAACTGAGGCGCATCTGACTTGCTTGTAATGATAGACCTGACCTGAAAATTCAAAGGTCTGGCAACAAAGCTTATGTTCTCTGTCACAGTTCTGCTGCAAGCAAAGCTTTCAGGCTGTGTTAAATAGGGCAACGATGACAAAAAGGCGTGTTAACTTCCTGTCTCAAGGAAGTACCGAGGGTTCAGAAGTCACCCTTGCCGGCACAGCAATCTCAGAGCCACAAAATACATGTTAAGTTCAACATGTCCACAAAGGTCTGCCCTTGACTAGCAACCTAACATCTTTGAGACGGAGATGGCAGACCACATGGAACCTCTCTTCACTTTATAAAAACTGGGCTAACCATTCTTATTTTACAGTCTTATTAAAATTTACAGATTTGAGGCCACTGGCCCCATTATAACCTCTGGGTTGACAAGTCGTCTTTAATGTGCTAAGAGACTCTTCACAATAATTTCTTTCGAGAATAGGCTGTAAATAACCTTGCACCAAAGTAGCCACAGTATGCCACGATGAGTTCACTCCCATTAGCTTCTGGCTGGTTGTCCAAGGCCATGTTCCTAGGATCTCAATGCCAGCTTTCTGGTCAGCCCAGTAGACCCCATGGAGGGAGAAAAAGCATGAAGTCACATGGTGGCTGGAAGCAGCTGATGGCTTTAAAAAACAGGCACGTGTATTGAGGTGCCCTGGGGGTGAGGAGCAGAGTGTGCAAAGTCTGATCAGTCCACAGGCATGCGGCAGTTCTACCAGAAGTTTCCCAAATCATCTTTAGGTAGGGAATAACTTTCAGCAGCTTTCAGATCACATAACTGCCTGCCATCTTTGAGGTTCACCACAATGCAGCAAGAGGATCTCTGCAAGAATGCGTCAAACCACCTCCTCCACAACATTTCTTTTTTTAATTAAATAAACAACTAGAAAGACCATGGAGGAAGCTTCCAGTGCCTGGTGAAAGAGGTCACATGTGAAGGCTCGCCCTTCAGAACAAATACAAGCCAGCTGAGGGCCTGGGCCACAAGATGTTCTC